GAGCCGGGCCAAGCTCAGCCACAAGGGGCTGCCAGAGACGAGGGAGGGTTCGAGATGATTTTATCAGATTTACACCCCCTTCCGATTGACGAGTCCCCGCTATATAACCGGCTGCTTGCTTACTTGCTTGCTTACTCGCTCTTGTAACGGTTCGATGCCTCCAATTGCTTGTTTTCCACCCGTTTACCATTTGATTAAGTTGCACTCGAACCAACGGTGCATCGGGACCCGCCACTTCGATCGAGAGAAAAGATTATTCCGGGGCACGAGCTTGTCACCACAAGGGGGTGTACTTCGATGGCATGTCACTCGATAATTTTCCAGATGGGTAAAATAGTGGCGCGTTAAACGACCATTGCTGTGGTCCTCGATCTTCGAAACTGCTCCTGTGAAATGTTAGAATACATATCACGCGCGAAGAACACACGAGAATTTCTTGATTTTGATATCGCTCGGACAATTCGGTAGATCTACAAATATTTTCAATGTCTCCGATAATCGATAAATCTATAAAATTCGACAAACGATCGAAGAATTATCTTTTGAACGATCAGTAGGATACAAAGAACATCCTTGAAATACCCCTCTGATGGTTTTCATGTCTTTTTAACGCGAGATTAAATTACCTCGTGTTGCGACATTGTTTGAGATACACGTTTGCGGTATATGTTCAACGAAGTCCATTCTAGAAGACCATTAGACAAAAACTAATTGCACCTCGTTCCGTAGAGTCTACACCATGGAAGATCGAATATCAACGTAGGCGCGGAAAGTAGAAAAGAATCAATTAGGCAACGGGTGCATAATACATCAGCGGATGAGACGGCAGCGCGTAGTGGAAGTTAAGGAGCCTAAGGCTCCCGGGAGAAACGGCCACCTATCCCGTCCCGTTTCGGCCACCCCAGCGAGCGTCTTCCGCGCGGAGGAAGCGAGAGCAACACACGCAAACGAACACACTTCTTGGTTTGATTTATTATTAAATCGCTGCCTACGGCATCCGAGTCTTGGCCTCACCAAGGTCGGCTAAGTAGACGAAAAGCTTGCACCGTGAAATCTTCCCCCGACCATCTCGACGCTTAACGTGCAACCCTCTCTCTCTCTCTCTCTCTTTCTCTCTTTCTCTCTCTCCCTTTGCTGAACTGATACGATAATAGCATTTCCAGGGAGGAAGAGATTTCAGCAGAAAGGATTCCCGTGTAGAATATTACCTGAATTAGCCGGTCCGTGAATTTACCTCGCATCCTTCTCCGTTTCGCCACATTTTTGCATATACACGCGTATAGGGGGTTGCAGAAGCGCGTTAACAGTTAACCCCCTGCCGCTACACCCTTCGATCTAAACCGTTCTCCGTTTTAAGGGATCAATTAAAAAATATGACGTGTCTGAAAATGATTTTGTATCGATATCTGCGCTGCGATCTGAAAGCCGTGAAAATTAACAATAGGAACGAGAGTCGGTTTATTAATTAACACGTCTTCGGTGGAAATTGGTTGATTGTTTGCGAGCGACGAGTATTTTATTTTATAACTGTAAAAATAACGAGTCTAGAAAGCTTTTTTACCGCTATGAAATAACTAGATCGCGAATGCTTATGCAGAATATTTTTATGGACGCAACTGAAACGTATCCCACGATTTCTCCTGCCTCTATAACAAGATCCTTATCGCTTAAAGAACAATTAGACAGACTCTTATCCTGCTCCAAGGCAACAAAAATCCACAGAAAGGAGTAGCAAGGTCGAAAATAATTCAAGTTGTATCGAGTTGTCGTGTAGCGCGAAGCTATCAGGTTTAAAGAGTGGCAGGGGGGGGGGCGGGGCGCTAGGTGCGCGAGACAAAGCCGTATTAAAATTGATAATATCCCAGTGATGAGAGGTAGAAGCTCGTGTGTGCGAGCGTCGTCAGAGTCTGTAAATTAATCAGAAGGACGACGCGTAACAGAAACGCGTTTCTCGTTTATCTTCAACATTTTCCTCGCGGTCCAATCTAATTACCGCGTGTTTATCCCGGGAAACGAAGCGCAACAAATGTAACAGTATTCCGTTTAAAAAGAGGAAAAAGAAAGGAAAAACCATCAAAAAGAAAATAATAGAAGGAGATGGATAGACGAAGAGAGAAGGAGAAAAAATCTCGCACGAACACGGCATTGAAAACTGGCTACAGATACAGGAAGCGTCGTAAGGATGTATATCTGTATATGTCTATGTGCATACTATATTATATATGCGCTATATATATTTATTTTCTCCCTCTCGCCTACTCGTCTACTCTTTTAGCAATGGTGCAAAAGTCGCGCGGGCTCCTTTGCAAGGGAGCAACAATATTCAGTAACGTAACCGCAGGCATATGACGTCTATGCGCAAAAGATCTGGCCGGGATAATCCGCGACAGAGTCGGCCTCGTTAATTACAGCGCCGATGAATGATTCGTTAATTAGCGTGGGATCGTGCTGCAAGTTTCAAAGGAAGGTACGATAAAGCCCATTCTGTATGATCGCCCGTAAATTACAGCGTCGGAAACAAATGTGGAATGAACGGTAGCTGGGAATAGACCACGAATAATAATCGCGTCGAAACACAGTTTCTCTCCTTCTTTCCTTCCATCTATCTCTCCTTCTTTTTCCTCCTCCTTTTTCCTTCTCCGCCTTTTCCCGTTCTACCCCCTTTTTTCACGTTTC